GCCATAATTGCGACCTGTAGCGTGATTACAAATTAACATGGACAGACGGACAGACATTATTGTATTATTGTATTGTATAGATTCACATCGACTTCATTAAGTATACGTACTTTTCTGAAGACCAATGACTTTTTTACTGTGAACTAAAATATTTTTGTTTTCTTACAGAAGACAAAATCAGATATGACAAATATGTCTTCTTACAGATCAATAATTTTTAATAGGTTAAAAATATTTATTATTTAATGTATCAGATTTTCTCACAGAAAACAAATTTAACTAAGATAAGTCTTTTCAAATAATAATATAAGTTATTCTACAAGAAGACCAACAGGTTTTTCGTAAAAAAAATGCTTTATTCATCAAGTATTTAAAAGGATAAAAATCCGACCCTGTTTACAGCAACAGGAGCATGACTTTTCGAAAACCGACAACAAACACCTACAACAATCTTTTTGCCATGCAAACCTTTGCATTTACCAGCCAGCCAGCCAACAAACCACTTCATTGTGGATGTCAACACACCATCTAAAGCTTATTCAACACCATTGCCACAAGTAAATGCAACACCAGCACCAACATCATCGTCTTCGCCATCGTCACCGTCGTCATCGCCGTCGTCATCGTCATCATCATTGTCATCATCTGTATAATTTAATAGTATTTTACGTAGTTCATATGTTGAGTGTATTGTCGTACTTGGTTTCCGCTACATTTTTTCTCGCCTCTTTGTTTTGTTGGCGTTCTTGTTCCTCTCTCTCACGCTCTGTCTCTTCCTTGTTTGCCATTTGTATTCGTTCTGCTTTCTGGGAGGATATTGAGTGCGTGGTGTTTTGTCTTTTTTTCTGCCCGGACGCCTTTAACCGCTTTCTAACAATAAACTGACTGGCTGGCTGACTAGAGAATGTAGGCAGCCAGTCCTTGGAGGTAGTTACTCCTCCAAGTGGTTAGATGAAGTGGGGTCTGGGTGGAGGAGTGTTTGTTAGAAAAAAAGTTGTTGTGAGATTTAATTTTACTAATTAAATCGTACTTTGTCTTTGTTACTTCATACTTCAGCTGTGATTAATTTCATCAAATTCGTTAGCACATAGACAAATATTTAAGAAGCCAGCTGACAATGGGAAGCTGTTCGTCTGTCAGCTAGGCAGCCATATGCTACTTTGGCTTCATAAGAAACCACTTAAACACCTACTAAGTTGGTGCCCCCATCCATCACCGCCGGCTCCCGGTCTCTTTGCCAATTACTCCCATCTCATCCGCCTCTCGATTGAAGAGTGGCGGCATTGTATTGAATAATTTATGGCAAAACTTTGTTGCAAGCAAATTTTTTTCTAGCGTTCCGAGGCAATGATAGAAACTCTGATGTTTGTCACTTCCAATGTTCAATGGTGGAGAAGTTTTTCGTTTTTGTTTTGAGTTCTTTTTTAGGTTTCCCTGAACTTTACACGCCATCTTAGGCATAAACAACGATGAGTTGAACTTTGTATTGAATGCGGTCTATTGCAGTTAAGATCGATGATGGTGGTTAAGACAAAATTATTTCGAGGGGGTTGGTGAAATCATTTTTAAATATCTTATAGATTTAATAGGAAAGGATTGAGGGATGATGTCTTCTCGTAGTGCGATTAAGATATAACGAGAATATTTTGGGTTAGATAATTTATATTAAGTCTGTAATATTTGAAATTGACTGAAAGTTATGAACGATTATTTTGCCTAATAAGCTTGGAGGTATTCTAAATGCAGTGGTTGATATTTTGAGAACTATATCTTCATGTGAATAAAAATAATATACTATCAGTGGGCAATTCAGTTGGATTCAGTACTGAACCAGTTAAGAAAAGCCCAAAGTCTGGCGGGCCGACTTTATGATACCCTACACCAATTTTCCCATTTACCCATAATAAATAATAGTTTTTATGGAGAATTTATGATAGTTTTTGAATGCATATTATGGCTTTAAAGCAGATATAATTTAAAGCCGAAAGGAACTAATTTTTACTAAATTTTACGGACTGAACCGATATTCATCAAAATCCATTTAATTTAAGCTGATATTACACTTTTTGAAATCGGATGAAGATATATATGAGAGGTATATCCAAATCGGAATCGATTTCTACGAAACTTAACAGATGCATTTCTATGCTGTATCTAATAGCTGGGACCAAATATCGTTGTTGTGGAGAGCATTTTACGCGTGTGAGGGACTTAAATACGAAATCGGATAAAACATATATATGGGACCTACAGGGTGAGATGAAAACACTGCAAGAAGACTGCTGTCATTTCTAAGCCACTCGTCCGACAGCTGTTAAAATCATTCCAGGAACAGCTCATTTTATTGTTTACAAGCATACAAAAGCATTTTGGTGAGATGTTGATGGTGTGGGGCACCATAACAGCCGATGGTCGCTCTCCGCTCGTATTAATCGACCGTGGCATCAGAATAAATGCCGAATATTATCGCGAAAATATTCTGGAGGGTGTACTAAATCCTTGGGCACGCAAACATTTTGAACGCAGACCTTGGACGTTCCAACAGGACGCAGCACCATAACACTCAACACCATCGCACTCAGCACACGTCACCCAAGAATGGTTACAAAATGAGGATCCTCGCTTCATTTCCAGCGCACAATTGCCATGAAAATCTCCGGATACCCATCCGTTGGACTATTGTGTCTGGAGTGTTTGGAAAGCAATGTTGGCACAAAAAAAAAACAAAAGTGTCGATCACCTCAAGCAAGCGCTTCGCCGGGAATGCATCAAAATACTGCAGAGCAACATTCGGGCAGCGTGTGACAATTTCATTGGCCGTTTGAAGGTCATAATTCGTGACAAAGGTCACCAATTCGAACAAATCTAAACTTATTCAGGATAAACTTGATCAGGGATATTTTTCTGTTTTTGGTTAATTTGAACCCCTAAATATTTTGCGATCATCTCCAAATGCAAGTGGCCCCTCTGTATCTCCAAATTTAGACTCATCTATATTATTTGCTTGTCTACGATATTTGGCTATATTCGACAACGAAATCGGCATAAAAAAGTCACAAGTTTGCCATTTGTGTATTTTGGATTTCGCCTGTAGGTTATTTTCAGCGTTTCGGTAGAATGGAAATGTTGGTGTTTTTTCACAAAAAAGTTGTGGTTCATTCATGCAAGATTTCGTGTCTTTTGGTTTCTATTTGTGACCTTGTGAAAATCAGGAACATTTTTTGTTGTTGGTCCATTTCAACCCCTAAATATATTGCGGACATCTTTAAAAACAATGGCCCTTCTGAGCCTTACCCTACCTTTATGAAAATTTTCGTGAAGATCTGACGATAATTTCAATCTGTATATAATAACCTCAAGCTGTGTTGTAAGGTGAAAAAATATTACAAAATATACACTTCAACATTATAAGTCAAATTGAAAAAATCGCATGCGATAAAAAATATAAAACAAATGAAAAATATCACAAAATACTACAAAATTATTATTAACATCATTATTGGCATCTTTTTATGCGATTTTTTATATCTTATTCTTTTATGCCAAGAGGGCATTCTGAATTGACAAAATTTATCAAAATCGGTCCAGCCATTCTTGAGATATAAGCATTCTAGCTAACATCCCTTTCCTTTGTATATGCACATTGTATCTATTTCGCTAAATATATATATATCCGATATATTTACTATCGGCATCTACGTAACTGTCTGAATTGACAATTTCGACTATTTGTGATTTCGCCGGGATTAAAAATATTCGCGGTTTAATGGAAAATTTGACTTTTATTTAACATAAATGTAATGGTCTATTTTACCCATTAAATATTACCCGATGACCATCGAAATTCCAAGGCTTTGCTCAGCCCTAAGCTCTAGCCCCATGCTAACCTTCGCGTCGATTGGTCTATAATTGCGACTTGTAGAGCAACTGCAAAATCAGGAAACTTTCCTATTTTTGGTCAATTTCAACCCCCAAATATTATGCGATCATCTTCTGACCATAACCCCACCCCACTTATAATACCCCCAACACATAGTGTTGTAGGGTATTAATATTACAGAAAAATATTTATATTTTTATTAGCATATTTTATACGATTTTCTAGATTTTATTCTTTTCTGTCAAAAGGCCATTCTGAATTAATGAGAATTGTCAAAATCCGTCGAGCCGTTCTTGAGTTATAAGGTGTTACATAATTTTTGGTCCAATCAAACTTGTACTACCCCCAACACATATGCTTTGTTCCAGAACTGCAAGAAAGTAAAAAAAATTTACTACAATAACCGACTTTCCCTTGCAAATTCTGGAACAGACCAATAGTGTTGTAGGATATAAAAATCGGATACATTCTCTATCAATACAAGGAATTTTTGTGTAGAAAAAAAGCTTACAAGCGATTTTTCCCCAAAGAGAAGACCCTTCACCTTTATATAACATGAGCCCAAATGCATTTTTTTCAAATTTTCTTGTGAAAAAAGTGAAAAATTCAACAGTTTTCTTCTTTATTTATTCATTTGCAACACTGCCACTACATTTACTTACAACAGCAACAACAATCCACACATTGTTTCGAAAACTTGAGTCAAGGGGAAAAACCACATGTCATAGAAAAACGACAACAAAAATATCAATAAACAAAAAACTCTCTTACCCACAACCCCGAAAAGGCCAATAGTAACAACAACGAAAAAGCACATCCGGATAAAAATGACACACTCATTTACATTGACACATTCGAAATTGCATGGCAAGAAATGAGAGATGACAATCTTAACTCATCACTGACTGAATGACTGACTGACTCAACAGCCCATCCAGCCATGAATGGTCATTATGATGAAGGAGAAATAAAAACAATTTTCAAGTGCTGAACATACAGCACGTGTAAAAGTATGTGTTTGTATGTATGTATGTGTGTTGTTGGTCCCCCAGATTACAATGTGGGAGAGTTGATTTCCCTTTTTTGCCATTCCCTCTTTTACTTTGTTTTATTTACATACCTGTTGCAGTGAAGGCATTGTTTTGAATAGAAAATACAATTTCCACACAGAGATTTGTTTTTCCTGTTCCCAGTATTCCTCGGCTCTTGTGGTTGTTGTTGTTACTCCTGCAGTGGCTGATGATAAGGATGTTTGTTGTTGTTGCTGCCGTTACTTCGTTTCAGTTGTGGTTGTTTCTCTGTTTGTGAGATTCAAAGTCAATTTGTTGGTTCGTTCACTCGGTGGGTCGACACAGCCGGTATGCCAGCCTGCCTAGCTTTTAACTCTCGATTTGTTTGTTTGCAAAATAAGTCTCAGTTTTGCTGTTACTATTGTATACAAGGTGTCAATGGAGGAGTTGTACACGGCCACAATACAAACCAAAACTCTGACTTGCACACAGACACACGAACATACACAATATCACGAAAGGAAAGCACGAACCGGCTTTTGGTCCATTAACACGAAGCCAACAAATCAAACAACAAACAGACGACACCAGGAAGAGTTCGTTCGTGTACAAATAACGTAAACATGCATTCAATGTCGAAGAGATTTGCTTATTTTAGCACTCTCACAGAGTGGAATAAACAAAAAATGTTTGGAAAATTGAGAGAGAGCACTTCAAGAATTCGAGAATGAGAATACGGCACGCACCCAAAAACCACGTTGTATTGCTTATCCAGAAAACAGCTGTTTTTCTTTCGGCCTTAGGGAGCCAATGATGAGTATGTGAACATGGGAGCGTATGTGTGCACGTGTTCTTTGCAGATTTTCATCAACACAAGTGGGTAATTCTCTCTCACTTTCTCTCTGTTCCTCACAATATAGAGACTGTGTGTGTTATAAAACTTCCGCTTCCACAAACTGGAAAATGTTGTCTCAGAAGGCGCCACAGATATCTGTTCTACAACTCTAATTGGAGAAGCTTTGCAACATGTCGTGGTTGCAAGTCCTGGCTGTATAATAAATAACAACCAATGTGTGTATGAGTCGGTGTTTGCAATGCCGGTTTGTTTGACAACTTTTTTATATTTTATCGGGGAGTAGTTACAGTTCCGTTGATAGTTGTGTTGTAAAAACCGTTGTAGTTTTTGTTGCTTTTGTAGTAGTTTTTGTAGCAGCAAATATTCTGTTTAGTTGTGCTTTAGTGGTTTCATCATTGAGGAACATTTATTATTTATTTATGTACACACGTCGTCGTCGTCGTCGTTGTAGTCGTCTTGTTCAACGTCTCACCTCTGTGGTTTTTCGTTTCCAGCTCCACCAGATGATGATGTTGAGGATGCTATCCTTCGTTCCCTTTATGTGTGTGTTTGTGGAACAGTGTTGGTCCTGTTCGTTGGGTTTTTTGTATTTGTTGTCTTGACTTTGTGTTCTTGGCTTACTCTCGTTGCCAGCACTCACCGTCACCGTTACTGATGCCGCTGCCACTGCTCTTGCCTTTGAATGATGCAAATTTTATGCCTTGTTTTGATATCTTGCCACACACAATAATTTTGATTTTTCGCACATAATACGAAATCCTGTTGAAATGCTCGTTCGTGTCGCTGTTGATGTTGATGTTGCTGGTACTGGTACTGGTACTACTGCCACAGCTGTAAATAAAAGCCAAAGAGCAGAACAGAAAGAAAAAACACATTTTATGGAGTGAGTGAAGTGGAAATAAAATGAACACAAAAAAGTGGTAGAAAAAGAAGAAACAACTATTACAACACTAAACAATATAAATGAATATATTTTTCTTGGGTACCCTACATTGCGTTGTGATAGCATTTTTATGCCGAACTAAATTTAACGGTCCCACTTTTTGTGAATAGCCTTTGATGAGTTTTAATATATATTCCAGTTTAATGTCACACCAATGGAACTAATCCTTCTCATTTACTGAAATTCTGGTTTGGAATAGATCAGATTGACTGACTGAGATATCTCAGTGTCATAGCAAACCTAGGGGTGATGGAATTTTGTCAGTAGAGCAAACGTCAAAAGGGCTTTGACATGTCGTAGATACCCATGGATTACTTTTTGATTTATATTTCAAGTTGGTTCATAAATGTTTAGGTTTTGGTATAACCTCATGTGTTTAAAATCTTGATTTTTTATGTTTAATTAATATTTGACAAGTACTTTCCCCTAATTTTTGAGGGTAGAAACCTTGCTTTAAAACAATCATCCGTTGAGTCCATATTTCGATGTAACGGCAGATCTGGTTTTCAAGTAAAATTTCCTAAAAATATTAAAAAAAATACCATTTCGGAGGGGATCAGAGCCCCCCTTGCTTCGCCGGTTCTTCTATGTGAGTGCTACACTGAACCGTTCAACGTTTTTATTTCGCAGGAATATCGGAGTTGTTGTTTAATCTTTAGCCATAATTTCGGTTGGATATTTTGGTTTTTAATAGGTATTAACCCACCTTTAACAAAAATTATATAGAGTCCACATTTCGGTGTTGCGATCTAATATCTCTCTTAACCACGATTTCAAATTAGAAAATGGAGATCGAAATTACGACTTCCTTCGATTAAAATCAGGAGCTACTTTAATATGAGAGCTGCATAATAGAGAAAATTTCGAGCTGGAATTTTGAAGTTTTGGCATTGGGATCCCTGTTGGTGGTAGGTCTATGATAAAAAGTGGTATTGGAAATTTGTACTACAAGTACACAAAAAGTCGTAAATAGTAATATATTTGGTACAGCTTGAAAGATAGTGTTACAGTTTAAAATACGAAAAACTGGGAACATTAAATTTTAAATCATCAAAATACCGAATATCTTCAGGTACAGTCATATAGAGACTATACCAAAACATTTACCTAAATAGACATATCTATGGAAGGAAGTTGACTACATGCTGGGAGCACACTGCTAATTTACAGCTAATTCGAATTAAAATTGTGACTGAAACACCATAAATCTGTACCAAAAAGTGGACCAACATGACCAATTTTCAATAATAATAACTGAGTAAAATTTCATCAACCGACTTCATTTCGTTCGGTAACTATAGTGATTACCACACACAGACGGAAATCGCTAGATCGACATAGAATTTTATGCTGATGTTTTTAGGTGTTACAAACTAAATGACAAATTTAATATACCCTCCATACTATGGAGGGAATCGATCTTAGAATCGGAAGACGGTTTCTAAACCTATTTATCGGGTCTTGGTGACAGTTTGGTAAGTACAGGGTGAGATGAAAAAACTGCAACCAACTTTAGACTGTTTTCATTTTTAAGCCACTTGTCCGACAGCTGTTAAAATTATTCCAGTGACAGCTCATTATATTGTTTAAAAGCGTACAATAGCATATTGGGGAAAATTTTCCAAGAAAAAAGTTATTCGTGATAGTGTGATTTCTTTATATTTGGCGGATAACCACAAGTGACTATCATTAGAGCACTCCAGCATTTAAATGTGAATAAATCTTTTGTGCCTCGTACCATAGCTCGTTACCGTGTTACTGGTAGCGTAGCCCGACGTCAAGGAAGTGTATGGAAGAAAACAGCAAAATCAGCAGAAATGGTTCGAAAAGTAAAGAAGCGACTTGATCGAAGCCCACGTCGCAGTGGCCGAAAAATGGCTCGTGAGCTGAACATATCGCAATGTTCCATTTTGCAAATATTAAAAAATGAGCTCGGGCTACAGCCATTGAAATTCCAAAGAGTGCATGAGCTTACACCGCAACAGGAAAAAATAGACTCAAAAGAGCTAAAGAGTTGCTTCGCTTGACCGAAAGTGGTGAACTGCCGAATTTGATATTATCCGATGAAAATACATTTGTCCAGCAGTTTGTAAACAAACAAAATGATCGTATTTACATTCCAAAGCTGAAAATGTGCACCTTCGTTTGGCCACCAGAACTCGGCCATCGTGATGGTGTGGGCCGCCATAACAGCCGATGGTCGTTCTCCGCTCGTATTAATCGAATATTATCGCTCGTAAATGCCGAATATTATCGCGAAAATATTCTGAGGGGTGTATTAAAGCCTTGCGCACTCCAACATTTTGGACGCAGACCTTGGCCATTCCAAGAGGACTCAGCACCATTACTCTCAGCACGCGCCAACCCAAGAATGGTTACAAAATGAGGTTCCTCTCTTCATTTCAAGCGCACAATGGCCACTAAAATCTCCGGATACCAATCCGTTGGACTATTGTGTCAGGAGTATTTTGGAAAGCAAGGTTGGCACTAAAAAATACCAAAGTGTCGATCACCTCAAGTAAGCACTTCGCAGGGAATGGGCCAAAATACCGCAGAGCAACATTCGGGCAGCGTGTGACGGTTTCATTCAAAGTTTGAATTTGAAGCTATCTCATCCTGTATACCCCATATAGTATTTTTGGGAAATATTTAAACTTTTGTAGGGGAGGTACCAAAAGAAGTTGACTGTATATTTCCCATAATATCTTTTAAATTGGCAAAAGCATTTAGATATGAAAATTTCAATGAAAATCGGACTCTAATTTCACAATTTTCGAAATCATTAGTCTTTTTTTTTTCTTCAGTTTTATGAATTTTGACGGGGAAAGTTCTAAAAGAAGTGGACGAATATATCCCATATTTTTTACGATGTATAACAGATTTTTAACATTTTTGGGATATTTCCTTGCCATGTGTCTGGTGTTGACAGAAATATGGTAATGCGACTTTAAATGTCAATATGATTCATATTTCAATATTTTCTATATCTGTGTAAGATATTATTATATATCTCAATTTTAAATGAAATCAAAAGCTCCATTCAGACGGACAGAAAATTTGTCCGATGAAATGAGAAAACTCCTACACAATTGGGACCTATATGTTCATTTGTCTATTGTAGTGACATACAAATATAGGGCAATACGTATTCCACTCAATATGATGCCCAAGCTTCATCCCTTTTTTCATACAAAATAAAAACCCCAAAAGAAAATCATGAATATTTTCTTCATCTCGTATATGTGTGTGTAGGTGTATGTTTTATTTTAAAGGTTATAAATATCAATAAGGTGGTTATTCATTGCATGTTCTTCACGTTGGTGAACTTGTTTTTATTTTATTTTACTTTTTCAATCTATTTTCGTTTGAATTCAAGAAAATGATTAAATAACAGACAATAGATGCAGCAACCATGAATATGTTAATTAAAAAGAAAAATAATTTGTAAGTAGCTTCCTTCGATTTACATTAATGGAAAGGATAACAGTTTTAAATCTCAGCGGAACTGAAAAAAACACTTGTTGTTGGGAGTAGAAAGGAAGTAGAAATTGTAACACAAAAAAAAAACATTTAATTACAAAAACATAAAATGAGAAAAATTCGAGTTCATCAAGAAGTGTAGCATTATTAGGGGAAAATATTCATGATTTTCGGTATATTGAAGGATAAATCTGCTGATGCTATTTCGTTGTCGTATATAGAAACATATATACAGGAATTTACATTTTCAAATATTGTTTTGAATACCCATTGGCACGACACAAGGCGTAAATATAGAACAATCGATACCGAAGAAAACCTGTTTGCATGACCAAATTAAAATGGACCAAACACGTGCATAAAATTGAAACACGCGACATTTTCATCATGCTTAAAAAACAGAGTTTCATGAGGATTATTCAAAGGAAGGACCTACTAATCATAAAATCTACTTTTTAATTGGAAAAAAAAAAACACAGTACACACAAATTAGGGAACGAGCCTTAAAATTTGGTGAAAGGTATAATAGTTCTTGTATGAAAATACTAGAATTTCGGTTCAACAGCCAATATTTTGAGAGGTCTACTGTTTATAACGATCTTTTAAATGGTATACAGGGTGAGATAAACAAACTGCAACAAAGCCAATAATGTTTACATTTTTTTTTTAATTTGATTGAATGAAGGCAAAAAATTTCGGAAATAGCATCAAATTTAGATTTGTTCGAATTGGTCACCTTTGGCACGAATTATGGCATTCAAACAGCCAATGAAATCGTCACACGCTGCCCGAATGTTGCTCTGCGATATTTTGGTCCATTCCCGGCGTAGCGCTTGCTTGTGGTGATCGACACTTTGGTATTTTTTTAATGCCAACCTTGCTTTGCAAAATGCTCCAGACACAATAGTCCAATGGATTAGTATCCGGAGATTTTGGTGGCCATTGTGCGCTGGAAATGAACCGTGGAACCTCATTTTGTAACCATTCTTGGATGGCGCGTGCTAAGTCCTCTTGGAATGTCTAAGGTCTGCGGGCAAAATGTTTTCGTGCCCAAGGCTTTAATACACCCTCAAGAATATTTTCGAGATAATATTCGACATTTATTCTGATGCCACAGTCGATTAATACGAGCGGAGAGAGGCCATCGGCTGTTATGGCGGCCCACACCATCACCATGGCAAGTAAACATAATCATACTGTTCGTTTACAAACTGCTGGACAAAGAATGTTTTTTCATCGAAGAAAACCGAATTCGGCAGTTCACCACTTTCGGCCAAGCGAAAGAAATAACACTATCACGCTTGAATTCCATCACGAATAACTTTTTTTCTGGAAAATTCTCACCAAAATGCTTTTGTACGCTTGTAAATAATATAAATTTAAATTGTAAATAATAGCTGTCGGACGA